AATTTGAGTACTAGAAGTCCTCCATTGGATTTGTAGAACTCAAGTTATGATCCAGACAAGTTATAGGTCATTTGAGGAATGTGAAATTTGTCTGTGAAAGTTCACCAACTTCCAAGGGACTTTTAACCTAGGAGGGTGTTTCTCCTAAACTTTTGGCCAACATGAAAGTTGTAGGTCTGGATCTTTGCTTTCCAAATTGTATTATAAGTCTTCCATCTGATTTGTAGAACTCAAGTTATAAGGTTTACAAGTTAGGGGTATTTTGGGAAAGTAGGATTATAGGTCATTTGGCATTATAGGTCATTTTCTCCATCTTGCAAGCTTCAAATGCAATTTTGTTCAACACAAAACTTGCTCAAAATGATGTTTTTAGGTCAATCATATACTCATGATGAATGGATTTGGTTTTAGGTGAGACTTGGTTTGAAAATTTTTGCAAAAGAGAGAAATTAAAGGCCATATTTGGTGGGAAATTCAAATAAATTGTTATGTGCTCAAACAAAGGCAAATGACCACTCAATTTGATCATAAATTACATTCTAGAAACATTGGCATCATTAGATTTTTCAATTGACCTCTAATTCATGGGCTTTTAACACTTTTCTTCACAAATAAGTAACATCACACAATTCCTTCACAAAGGCAATTTGGAGACGCCTTTTGGTCTGAATCCATTCTAAATGTGGTATGCAAGTTATCCAAAGCTTCAGAAGCAAGCTGTTGAGCAGAAATCGTGTATGGCCATGTTCAAATTTTTAGAGGAAAGTTGAAAATGGATCTTCTGAATTGGGCCTGGGCTGGGCCTCTAGAAGCTTCTATCACACTCTATAAAGGTTAGGAAACTCATTTGGAGAGTTTTTGGTGATTGATTCGTGCTGAGATCAGAGAGAGCCATTGGAGTTTGAAGAAGAAAAGTGCAAATCGGTTTTTGGATTCAAGCTATTTTCAAGAGGAATTGAAGGTTCTACAAGTTTCTGCCATCATCACTGAGTAGATCTGGAAGGTTTGGAAGCAAGATTCAAGCCATAGACATCTCAATTCGAAGCTTAAAGTCAGGTTGGTAAACCTCAAATTTCCTCTTAATCTAGCATGATGTAGTTAGAAACAAGCATGTGGCTAGGATCTATGTGAAACTTAGCACGTTTTAGGATTAAATTGGTAGCAATTGGTGATGATTGATCATGTGGTACCATTTCTGTTGAGGTTCGATTCTCCCTAGTCTTGAGGTTTTAGTACAAGTGAGATAGCTTAGGTTAATCAATGTTAGATGAAGATCATTTCTATGCCAGTAATTTGAAGTTTGGTGAGGATTGATGTGTTGACATATTTTGGATTTTGACTCGGTTTTGAAAATCTAGAAGGTTTCAGTTAAGTTGGAGTTTATTTTCGTGATCAACATGAAATTCTGAGCAAGATTGATATATAGTTTGTATTTTCTAGTTGCCTGTAAATTGGTCTCCATCGGAGAAGACGGTGGCGCCACCGTCTGAGCCACCGTATGGGTTTTGCCTCTCACCGGAGTTTAAAGGAAGAAGAAAATGTCGTGGCCATTGGATGAGTCTGGAGAGTGGACTTCGTATGCAAGATCAAAGGCTGAGATTTAAACTTGAGTTTTGCCTCCAATAGATGAAACGCAACATTTCATTTATGACTCAGCAGATGAGTCAGCTGGCTGCGTGGCACGCGTGATAACCCTGGGATCTGCTTACTTAGTCTTAGGATCCTACGCTCCTGATTAATTCCCCAGTTTTATTTCTTTTATTCATTTTTCTATTTTCTTTAATTATTTTTATCTTCTAAATTCATTTTAAATTCAATAATTGTCAGAAAAATAAACCAAAAATATCCCCATGATCCTCTTTTGATTTGTGATTTTTCTATGATGTTAGATTTAATTTTTGATGATTTTTCAATTTGATTCCTATTTTTCTCTTTTCAAGTATTTCTTTAATTTTGCATAATTGAGCTGTCTGTTTGTTGATTTTTGTTCTATCAATTGGTTTGGAATTTTGTTGTGAGATTTTGCTGGCTGTTAGATTAGAGATGTATGCTCCCATATGAATTTTCTCACATTTTTTAGAAAATCATAGCTTCTGTTTTAGAGGTAGGTTTAGAGCCTTTCCCCATTAATGGTTTCCCTTGATACCTTTCAACTTAGGATTTTATTAGAGGACTTAGAAATTGAACTAGGTTCTGATATTTGAACTACAGATCATTAATAAATGCATGTTCCCATAGAAAAATAATTAGATTTTTAGGGTGTGTTTTTCTATTTTAGATAGAATATTTAAGTTGTTTGTTCATTTGGTGCTTCAACCATGGTGATTGTTTTGGAATGGACTCAAAGTGGGCTTTTCTTGCATGTTGGGCTTCTGGTTCCTCTTGTATGATGTCATGGGCATGGTGAAGCTTTTATGGAGTGGATGGTGGAGCTTGGCTTGGAGATTTTCTTTTCTTTTTGTTAGCTTTTTGTAGCTTATAAGATTAGGGTTTTTAGGAGAGAGCTTTAGAAGTAATTTTTTTCCTTCAAATAAGCATGGTTGGTTTCACTTGCTCTCCATTCTCATCCTAAGATTCAAAGTCCTCATGTGAAAGTCTCATCTCTCCTTTGGAGGGATGTGTGGTATTTTACAATGAGTAGAACTTTTGAGGATGCCTTTCTCTGATGACTGGTTGAGTGTCAGGTGGGATTCCTTTGGTTTCCTTCCTGCTTCCCATCATCAAATACTCATCTTGTTGATTCTCTTCATTCTTGGCGGAGTGGTTTGGTAAAGTTTGAAGATGGAGCATCCCTTCCCTTCCCTTGAAGATGGTGTGAACTTGAAGAGCAGTTACAGACTTTGGATTGGATTGTTGTCAGAAGATTGCTCTGCTGTGGAGATTGCCGACTTGTTTTCCCTGTTTGTCTGTTTTCTTTTTGTTCTACTGTATTGATATGATTTGCTTGGAATGTTGCATTAGATTTAGGCTTCATATAGATGATCATAGGCCTAAGAGAATCTTAAGGGTTGAGCTTCTCCCCTTGCTTGTATTGCATTAGAGGTTGAGTTTCTCCCTCTACTTGTATTTTTACTGTGTGGCTTTGCTTGCTGGTATTTGGTAGAGCTCAGCTCCCTTGCCTGTGTGGTGTGTGGCCTTTGTGCCTTGTTTGTTTAGAAGTTGAGCTTGGCTCCTTCTGCTTGTGTGATGCATATCATGCATTTTTATTAACAGCATTTTGTTTACAGTAATTTCTTTTTCAGTTAATTTGTTTACTGTTTGTTTTCCTTTGCCATGTTCTCCTAGGAACTCTGACTTCTCTAGTTCCAGAGAAGTTATGACAGACATTAGGGTTCTAACCATGCATGATAACATTAGGTAGATTCCCTCCTAACCTCAACTTTAGGTCCATTTTGCATGACAACTTTAGGATTGGATCAGTTCCCCTTTAGTACGTCTTTTCTCTTCTCATCTGCAAACAAAATCAAAATACAGTAATAAAGGTTAATTGATGTCGTACGTTACGAGCCTTAAGCTACTTGAGAAAGGATTTTTGAGGAGTTTCTTTTCAACAGTCTGGATGTTTAGTATGGTACCCTTTGGGTGACATGCGACGCATTCACTCTCAAGTCATAGTCTCTAGTGCGATATCAGTTGCAAACATCCATAAAAGATACTTCTCTAAAAAACAGAAAACAAAGATCAAACTCTTTTTGTCTTTTTGGACCCTTAATCCCTTGGGAAATCTTTTTCAGAAGGAGAGTTTTGTTAACTCTCGGTTCTACCGCAAACGGTAAACGCCTAAGTCTCCAATGGTCGAGCTGCATACACCAACTGCTGGAACCGTCTGTTAACCCTACTCAGATAAAAAAGACAAACCTGTGTCTCTCGTGTCCCGAACTACGTTTTCTATGATCTTTCGCACTGTGTGAAAGTATGTAGGCACAAGATGCGATATCTTGGCGAACAACCTTCCCCCGTAGTTAGGTGAACTACGTTGACTCTGATTTCTCGTTCAAGACGGGAATACGTAGGCATAAAGTGCGACGCTTTGCCGAGTCATTTTCTTTTCTTTTCAGACCAGACCTTTAGTGTAGATAGATGCAACAAACCCATAAGATAAACACAACAAGCATGGATCCCATCGAGTACGATGGATGTGAGGGGTGTTAATACCTTCCCCTCGCGTAACCGACTCCCGAATCCAGACAATGGTTGCGATGACCTTGTCTTATCCCTTTTTCGTGAGGTTTTCTCTGTGCGTTTCCTTTCCCTCCTTTGGGATAAATAACGCACTGTGGCGACTCTTCTGTCTTGCCGGCCTCGTTTTTCGCAGTAGCGACAGGTCATCAAGAATATTTATCTTGAATATCCCAATATTTTTCAAATAACTTCTTCTTGAAGTAATCTACATGAGTAAACCTTCCAACTTAGATCAAACCTTAGGTGATGAACCTTTTCTTCCAAGTAGCCCATGATAGGCAATTTACCTTATTTGGAACAAACCAACCCAATCCTCACCTTGTGGACCCACATGCTCGGTATGCAATAGAACAATGTATGATATGGCGAATGTAGGGCATGAACAACTAAAGGTGAAAATGAAGGTGTGACAGTGTTGCCCTTGGCTTATTTACTTCTGTTGGTGGCTGAGTTCTCTTACAAGTGGACTTATTGTGTCCAGTTTGTCTGCACCTTGTACACCTAAGTATCATGCTAGTTTTTCTCATTTTTCTATCTGATCCATCAATTTCACCTGCTCGCGGTTCCTCCTCTTCTTTGGCCTTCCTAGCATTTTTTTAATTTTGGTGGCTGGACATCTGGGTACTCTGTTCTGACCCATAGATTTGTTCCATTAACCGGATAAATAATAGGTTCATAAACAGAAATATACCTTGCCTTCTTATAACACTTTGGGATGTAATCATCAACACTTAGATTTCTACTCTTCATTAAAGACAGAGCATGAACACAAGGTAGACCAGTCAATTTCCATTTTCTGCATGAACAATCATGTTCCTTCAAGTTGACAACAAAATATCACCTTGATTCTTAATATGTCTTACTTCAAATATAAACTCACATGACATCCTACAAAATAATATAAAAAATCACAAAGTATAAAAACTAAAGAAATAATTTGTATTAAAGCAATTTTTGTACCTTATTATCCAATAATGTGTGAAACTGCTTGTTTTTTCAACTTTCCACCTGATGTTTGGCAAAACATCCCCATCATTTAATTGTGAGGATTTCACCCTATTTGCTGCCCACCTTTCCAAGATGCATCCCCTAATTTCTTCTAACATGGTCACCAATGGCTTTGCTCTTGACTCTATAATGACACTATTGAATGCCTCTGATATAGTCACCATATTGTTCACACCCTCACCTACATTCATACCCTCAACACTATCATTTTCCACACCCTTACCTACATTCATACCCTCAACACCATTAATCTTCACACCCTCACCTACATTCATACCCTCAACACCATTATTCTTCACACTCTCACCTACATTCATACCCTCAACACCATTATTGTTCACACCCTCACCTACATTCATACCCTCAACACCATTATTGTTCACACCCTCACCTACATTCATACCTTCAACACCATTATTGTTTACACCCTCACCATCAGTACCTACATCCGTATCCTTTATGACTTCTTCATAAAGATCTTTAAGGATGGATTCTACCTCCGAATTAACCCTATTTAATGGTTCTTCATCTATGGGCTTCTTCCTCCATCATGTTTATAGGATTTTCAACATATTCTGGTTGAGATAACGAATGTTCTATGTAAATTCAACTTTCAAATGTACCCTACAGAGGTCAGTTACATCTAACGCACCCTTATCATCCTTAAGAACATTCATTCCAAATGTGGGGTCATTGTAATATATAGTGTCTACCTCAGTGTAACCTAGATCTTTCACAACACCAACCAATTCAAAGTATGACCACCTATCCACATCTATCTCTAAATAATAAATTCACCCCAAACATAATAGGTTTTTTCAGAGTCCACAAACTTACCACTATGATGAATTTTCAAACACAAAACTTCTTCCATTTCTACCTAAGATAATAAAACGCAACATTACAAACAAGAAAACGCAACATTACAAACAAGAAAGCGCAACATTAAGACAATAAAACACAACATAATAGCAATTTTCAAAAGGAGAAAAAAAACCTAGATGCCTAATCAGTTCAAAAACATGCAAAATTTACACACATTGAGAGTAGACAAGGACGTGTAAACTAACTGTTGTCTATGTTATCTTCGTCTTCCTCAGCTTGCTTCTTCTCTCTTCCTGTTCTTCGTCTTCCTCAGTTTCCTTCTTCTCTCTTCGTGCTCTCTTAGGGATTTCTATTTCAATGCGTGACTTAGTTAATGAAAATGATAATATTATGCTATTTCAGATGACACCTTAGCCATGTTAATACCCATCATGCCACATAACCAAACAATTCATTACACCTCAGCAATAACTTATTACATCATCCAGGTTTTGAAAATAATCTAACGTTTCTAACAGTCAGGATTAACATGATACCATTTTAATAACGTAAGGGACCGACTTGGAACTTTTAAAAGGAAGAGGACCAAAATGGACCCCGAGTCATAGGTAGAGGACCAAAAAGGGTATTAAGCCAAAATTTTAAAAAAATTTCAAGCAAGCATGAAAAGAAAATGTGAATACGAATGTGAAAAACAAAAGAAAAAAAAGCTTATTTGAATGGAAAAAAAAATAATAATTGTGCAAAGGTGTTGGAAGGGTGAGCAATAGAGAAAAGAAAGTGTTGGATGGAGTTGTATTGTGTACATAGCCTTGAGTAGTGAATGTTTCTTTTGCATTGGCAACTTTGATTCAATAGCCTTATAAATGTCCATTTGTTGTGAACCTAACCATGATACAACCTTTGAATACCTTAGTGATCTTTTTTCTTCCATAATTTCTTTATTGATTGTTTAAATAATGTATGAATTGGTTTGTATTTGCATCATTTGTCAGGTGAGTGAAATTACCCCGCGTTTGTAAACGCGTTTTTCCTTCAATTATTATTCCAAGAGGAATGTTAGATTGATTCAAGCATGATAATTTAATTGTTACTTGAAGCATTATTTGATATTTTTTAAAACTAAATTCTTTTGCATTGTTCGATTCTAGGAAGTTGTAATCATTGCTTGTGTACATTTGTTGTTTATTTGAGCCATAAATCCATTCTTGGTTGATTTAAATCCTTGAGAAAATCCTCTTGTTTTTAATGAGAGGCATACTTTGCTTGAAGACAAGCAAAGAGATAGTTGGGGAGAGTTTGTTAGATGCCGATCTTGCTTTAAATTAATCATTTATAATTGGCGTTTTCAACTCTTTTGTGTTGATTTGTTGGAATTACTACTTGAAAGTTTGCCATTCTTCAATTGATTGAAAATACCTTTGGTGCCTTTGGTTTGTGTGCTATTGTGCAGAAAGTAGGCATTAAACAATCAAAGTGTGAGACACAAGGAAATTGAACAAGGTTACCAAAGGAAGAGAAGAATATCAGTAAGTTCGCTGGGCGAACTTGCTAGCGAATGTTCGTTGTGCGAACAACTAGCGAAGAACCAACGAATGCTCCCAGACTTGAGGCAGTAGCAAAAGGCATGTAGGTTCACTGGGTGAACAAGTCAGTGAAGGTTCTATGTGGCAACATGTCAGTGAAGAGCTAGCGAAGCATCCCAGACTTGAGGCAGTAGCTAAAGGGTCATAAGTTCATTGTGCGTACTTGTATGCGAAGTAGTTAGCTAGGTGAATAATCATTTGCACAAAAAAATTCAGAGTCGTCTTAAAGGAGGTTTAACTGTGCAAAGGCATATCAGGTGCCTAATTTGATGCTCGCTAGGCGAATAATCTGTTCGCAATGCGAACATGACAAATCCTGATTGTACTATATAAGTACTTTTGATCATCTTTGGGAATCATAACCTACTTTTACACACCAAAACCTAATTTTCTGAGATTTCTTCACCAAAGAGTGAGATTTTACACATAAAAGATGGATTCGCATCCGAGTCCGATTCTTCGACGTGGATGCTCATCCATCTCCTCCTGAAACTTGTGAAGCAAGCTACCATGGTTATGGGTAGCTAAGTCACTTTTGTGTCAAGATTAGTGGTAGATAATCCTAACTTTTATATGTATTTCTCTTGATATTTTGTATGTGAACAAACTTGTGAAGTAAGCTACCATGGTGTTGCACCCCAAAATTTTCCTAACCTTTTTCTTTACCTAGCTTGTGTTTCATTGCATTCATTTTAGCATTATCATCTGCATTGCATTGACAGGTGTGCAGGGGATCAAGAGGTATGACTACCAACAAAGGGATACCCAAGGTTATGAAGCTATCTAAGAGTCCTAACTCAAGTATTCAAGGGTTGATATCCTCATCAAAGAAGCCAAAGTTCCTCAGAGAGAGGGTTGGATATAAAAGTGTATGCCTCCTAACTTGAAGGTTGTGAGAGGTCATCAGATGATTCTAATTCCATGGGAGTTGGACTTGAAGCCTTGAGAGAGGTCATGAGAAGTATTGGAATTCATTGTGAAGCCTAGACAGGTCATCATATGAAGGATAAGAAGTTATAACCAAGATTGGTGCAATTAGGGTTTCATTTGGTCAACCCTAGGTCAACAGGTGATTTGAAGAAGGTTGAGACCTAGTTTCAAGGCCATGTGATCATGGATTGATGTATTAATATGCCCAAGGGATGATTCCAAGGTCAACTCATCATGAATCAAGAGTGTGAGGAGTTCCTAGGCTAGGGTTTCTAAGCTTGACAGTGTAAAATCCCCTGGTTTGGTGCCTAAATTCAAGACCACATAACTCAAGATGTGATTTTCATCTCACCTTGACCCTAACATGATTGTTGTAGAGCATGATCATAGATTTAATTTTAGTACTATAAGTCCTTGATAGGGTTTATAGAACTCAAGTTATGAATCAGACAAGTTACAGGTCATCAGATGAATGTGAATTTGGAGCTTGAAAGACAACCAACTTGCATGACACGTTTTCCCTAGAAGGAAGTTTCACATGACCTTTTGGCCAACATGAATGTTGTTCCTTATCTTCTTAGCTTTTAAAAAAGTACTAGAAGTCCATGATTGGATTTGTAGAACTCAAGATATGAGCTTTGCAAGACAAGGGAATTTTGGGAAGTTGCGATTATAGGCCATTTTTTTATTATGGGTCAATTTCACCAACTTAAACACATCAAATGAATTTTTTTTCAACTTGAAAGTTGTTCAAAATGATGTTATTTGTCCAACCATGCACCAAGAATCCATTGATATGGATTAAAATGAGAAGTGTGTGAAGAAATTTTTATGGATGAATCATTAAAAGGCATTAAATGAGAAAATTCCAAATTTATTCATATTGGTGCAAAATAGTGCAAGTTTGTGCATTTTTTTGAAGGTAAATGGTATTTGGAACACTTTGGCATTTTTACATTTCCAAGTTGAAGCACATCTCATGGACAATTTTGAAGTTTCTTAAGATTGAAGTTACATGATCAAGACACACCATTGATTGGATTTAAGGAAGTAATCTCAGCCCTTCATCCTCACCAACATCCAAGCATTGAATTTGAACAATTTGGAAGGCAAAACAGAGTTGTTTCATGGCTGCCATAGTGAGAAAAAGTAATGGAAAATTGAAAAGTGAAATGGATTAAATGGGCCATGAATGGGCCTGATATTGATCCAAACATCCTCTATATAATCCATAGATCGTTTTCAGTTGGTTTTGGATGCAATTTGGAGGGAAAATCAGTTAGAACAGTTGAGATTTTGAATCTTGAAGAGTGAAGTTCGAGTTTGGAGATTGAGGCGAAATCAAGAAGAATTGAGCATCAAGATTGATCAAGCATCATTCACTGATTGATTATGCGCCTTTTGAAGCAAGAATTCACACTTGAGAGTGCCCTAGCTGAAGCTTCTGAACAGGTTTTTGTTTTTCACCATTGCTCTTAATTTATGCGCATTTAGGTTAGATTAGACATATGGTTATGTTTCTAGATTGACCTAGATGATTTTAGGATTGAAATCGTGGCTGATTAGGATGATTCTTGATGTGGTGCCATGACTTTAAGGCTTCGGTTTAGACTTGTTATTGGTTAAGAGTGAAAATGGAGTGTAGATTCGTGATCTACTAGTCAAGGCGAGCAATTTGATGTAAGAGATCATAGGTTTTGGTTGGTTTTGTGAACCTCTGCATTTTTTGGTGGCCGGAGAAGATGACCGGAACCACCGTGGGTTCATCTTCTCCGGCGAGCTGTGAAAGATCCCCCCAATTCCTCAGTTTGAATATGGACCGTGAGATGCTTTAGAATCCTTGACTAAGT